TTTACTTGCTTCAGTGTAAGCTAATGAAAATCACTGTATTTTTCTAAGGTTAGTGATTATTAAATTTTACTATACATAACGATTTCTTGAGGCGTTTGTTAGAAGTACAAGTTCCTCAACCATACTCTAAAAAGCACTGTCCCACATGTTCTTATTATTAACCTGTGAGGAATATGTTTAAAATTCTATTCTTTATCTACTAGCATTGCCAGAGATAACAAACTAATCAAGGAATCTGAATATGATGCAATTCTCCACCTCTGCTCAGATCACTCATTCATTCACTGAATATTTACAGAGCAAATACTATATTACCAACACTAAGAAGCACAGTAGGCTATAAATTTAGGAGGTATTAAAAAAAAACTAAAATATTTTAAAAGTAGAACTTACTTGTTTCTTAGCAGCACGCCTAGCTTGTATGTGTTCGTATTCTTCTTGTGCTTTTTGATTTGATGTTTTCTTTTTCTTTAGATTAAAGGACCTTTATAAAATAAATTAAAACAAGTCACAAGGATTAAAAATGATTTAACCAAAATTATGATGCAATTATATCAAATATAGTACTGTTTACAGTAAAATCACATAATATGAATTAACTGTAGAGGGGAGACAAAAGGGGGGAAAGAGGACATTAAATTTATTACTATAGTAGAATGTGCAAACAGGATACCAAAAATATATTTGCAGTTTTTAAGATTATAGTTTAACTAAAAGGTGGTAAATGGAGATTCTCAGAGAACTATTTCAATCAGGGAAAATACAGAAAGATTAGAAGGTCTTATGTTAAAAACAAAACAAAAACAAAACCAGCATATGAATGATAAAAGTCTGAAAGAGGTAGTAAACGGAATGATGCGATGGAAAGTATGTGTTTATGAATTTTAATCTCAAAGTTCTTTGACCACCTTGTTGTTATTCCATTTCATCTACTTTAATAGGGAATCACAACACCGTTGACCTGGTCCCCATTTAGAAATGTTCTGTCTTAAAGTATTCCTCGCATCTATGAAAACGTCCCTCTTGCCTTGCTAACCCAATCACCTAGGACCATCCATTTCCTCAGGACCTAATTAATAATCTTCCTTTCCTCACCTCTTACTTTTCACTATACTCACTCCAAATCATAATATAACATATTTCAGTAGCTCTATGATCAAAGTAAACAAATGTGTAAGTTAGTCATTTCCAGATTCTATGTTCCCTTCTAACTACCAATTTTATTCCCTGACCAATTGTAGCCAAGTTTCTGGAAAGAAAAGTGAACAGATCGATTGCTATTTCTTATTCACTGCTTAACTTTTTT